CAATAGAGTCGATTCACATTTGATTTTCAAGGTGATACATCTACCTAGAGATCTGCAATTTTGACAATTTCTTATCGATATTTTTTAATGAAAAAATTCGCAATGTCTAGTTAACAAATGTAGCTTCGAACAGGAAAAAGTTACATTTACTTTGTAGTGAAAATTTTATTGAAAAAATTCCTAAATTGTCGGGTCTCCTTATGGTAAACTTATCTCCTTGAATCCAGATGGAACACGTGCAACGTCTGCTCCACCGGAGGTGAAATCATTTTTCAACGCTTCTGACCGAACAACAAAGAAGTTGTACGCTTCCTCGACCCTCAACTGGTAGAATAAAGTTCCGAACGACCTACATTGTGCTTCCGAAACGTCGCGTTTGATTGATTGTATCGGAAATTTACTTGAAACTTCCGTGTTCCTTGACTTCAAACTGTTGCCGAGTTTTTGGCAGAACGACTGCTTTCAGTTTTGACTTGGTTATAGCACGTGCTGTTTTGTGGCCTTATCAGTTGAGGATTCGAGGATGAATCGATAGAAGCTCGTTCAAATGGAATTACGGGCCGCTTAGTCCGTTCTACGCGAGGAAATTACTGTATAGATCTATTTCTTCGAGAAGAAGAACGTGTAAACTGGTTAAATAAGTACGTATACATAACGAGATGCTCGTGTCGCGTCCATAGAGCTGTAGCTTAATTGTACAGGAAAAGGGAACGATACTTGGACAGTTCACAGTGAAAAATCTTGAAAAACACAGTCACACATCGACGTCATAATTACACGATTAGTTTTACTAGGATCTAATCAAAAATGAACACACTGACATTCATAAAGATCGAAGAAAATTACGAGAAATTCTATCGCTGATCAAATCTTACAATTCCCTTTGTACCAAAGGAAAGAATTAAATGAATAGGTTCCACTGCTAAGTTAATTCGCGTGATTTTCATTTCACGCCACTCGGAGAGATCATAGCAAACTGACAATGAGAGGAGGAATTTCGCCGGAATAGATAAGACTCGTGCAATCTCCTTTTATTACGTCGACGTATGACACGATACGCAGGATAAGGCAATAACTTGGAATATCTCCATCATTTCAAACAGCCTGGCGAAATTCTTACGCCAAAGGGAAACGTTCGCACAATGAAAACGTCTTTTCGCGAAGACTCTGCGAGTTGCAAGATTCATTTTCTCCGAATACAATTTCTCTCCTTACGGTGAGATGTTAGAATATCTCTTTCACAACGATCCCTTTAGCGTTGGAACAAGTACAAAGTTACCAACGAATATATATATATATACATATACATATATACAGGGTGAGTCAACTTACCCGGACCATAACTCTGTTCCTATTGAAGATAGAAAAATATTATAGAGGAAAATTTTAATTAATTTTGTAAAAAATCACACTACACGATGATAGAACTTGTTAAACAATGCAAAATTTTCCTTTACAATTTTTGTCTATCTTGAATAGGAACAGATTTATAGTCTAGCCAGTTACTAGACTCACCCTGTACCTAACTTCATCTCCTGGAATATTTCGCTTGTTTTTGATAATATTAAAAAATGTTTCAGATACAAGTTGAATGTTACCGAAAAACCATTAGTTTTGAAGATATTTTAACTTGTAGAACCTACCATACGAATGAGAAGGGAAGATGCGAAACAATATAACGAAGACGAGGACAACATAAACACAAGAATACCGCTTCGCCTCCTTCCTTGTCTTTCTTATTATAAAGTGTTTCGGTATAAATAAGTTAATACTTTTTTGTAGAGAATGTCCAGCTGGGTCGACTAATGAATTAAAAAATATATGATTGCATTTAAAAAAACATCGGTAACCCCCGTATGTTCTCTACGCATTCACCTATGAAAAAACTAATCATGTCGAATTATGTCCCCCTCGAAACCATTCAACTTGTACTTGAAACATTTCTTAATATTATCAAAAACAAGCGAAATATTTCAGGTGACAAAGTTAGGTGGACCACCCTGTATATGAGGTATATATGTGAACAGTTCTCGATCAATCGTAACTCACTAGTGTAAAAATTGGAAGAAACATCATACATACAGAGTCTTCGTGACGTGCATAAATAACTATACATATACCGGGTTAGTCGCGAGAAACAGAACACCTAAATATGTATCTCTGTTGGGATTGAAAATAGGAGAATATGTTCAATACAGAAGTTGTACTGTTTAAGGGGACAAAGGTGGTGGTATAAACAAACTTTTCTTTTTATATTATTTTCAAGATTATTTCATGATCATGAATATTTTTTTAACTGCTTCACAACCATGAACGAGATATTTCTCTATTTTCTGTATTTCGTGAAAAAACTGACTACACTACCGGACAGTAGGTACACGAAGAAGGCAAATACAATTTTAGATTATAATATGCACATGGGTGGAGTAGATCATGTAGATCAGATTTTACAAGAATATAAATCCTTCAGAAAAACATTAAAATGGTATAAAAAATAATTTTTTTATTTGCTGGATATTAGGATATTAACTCCCTTGTTGTATGGAGTTGTCATTAAACAAATATCACAATCCAACGGAAAATTTGTATTACAAAAGAAAGAAGGGTCGTTTTCATCCTCATCGTTTCATCCCAACAAGAAGCAAATGTCATCCGACAAGACGTTGCATATTGTGCAAAGAAAATAATTTACGTAAAGAAACAATTTATTATTGTAAAAATTGTAATACAGCACTATGTGTTACTCTACGTTTTAAATGTACAAGAAAAATAAACATAATTTTTCCTGAAAACAATATGCGTTTCATTCGCTATGAGGTTCCATGAATTGATATCTTTTCCGAATGAGGACTCTTGTCTTAACAATCAAACACGTGGGATATGTACCTCATCCGTGGGATCGTACGAATGGTATTTTGCCGCGGGATAACTCATCCGTGGTGTTGCACGAATGTTGTGAAATATTTCGTCCGTAGTAGTGAAGCGGTTAAATGGCATCATGTAATTTTAACTTCGTAGCGTTGTAGCTGATGTCAAGACGAGTTCAACGACCTAGTATACCATGACCCTGGATTCAGAAATCTAGATTCGGTCAACGAAAATATTAATATTGAAAATTACTTTATTTAGATTAAATCAAATGTTCAAAGTGATGACCTTCGGTGATAATACAAGTATTTAATCGTTTTGTGAGGCTATGGTTGTTGTTTCAATCATTTCCGATGAAATAGATGCACAAGACCTCATATTTCTTCTTTTACTCTGAAATACTGACCAGTACAACCTTTTCTTCCTTTAAGTAACGCATTGTTAAACGTAGTAACCGTTGGTACGCGGTAAACTGATACGTATTGTCTCAATAATTCGACAAAAACATGTCGAATCATGTACCATGCCATTTAAAGAAACATCGGTGGCCTTGAAGTAACCTTGAAAATAACATCAAACAAAAAGTTTGTCTATACCACCACTTTTGCCCCCTTGAACAATACAACTTTTGTCTTGAACATATTCCCACAGAGATGATTAGGTGTTCTGTTTCTCGTGTCTAACCCGGTATAGAGAAGTAGTTCAGGTGCCAAACTATACGAATTCACAAAGATCAATTTTATTCCGCTAAAATTTAGCACAGGTTGCGATATAGCAAGTTCGTAAAATCAGTCATGAGTGAAAAAGTAAACATGTTTCGGATGTCGAAACAATCGAATTGACAAAGATGTGAACAGTTAACAGGACCGTATGAAGAAATGTCTGAAACCCGCTAGCAAATGTAGCTTTCGCCATTCGGATAAGTTTTATAAAAAAATTTAGCCACAAAAAAGAACTGAGAAAAATTCCAAATAGTAATTAACATATGCAAATTTTCCACTTGTAAATGAAATACCGTTAGTCATAAGTCGTCGTTGTTTTCATTCAGACAATCAATTCTTCGAGGATTTAATTTACGACCTGGCTATACCACGGAAATTCATCTAAAGAATATCTTAAACTTTAAAACTCTAGATGTTGCGCCTCTCAGCACCTGAACCCCTCTTACAAACATCTGCTGACGCTCCTCCGTAATAGTTGGTAGGATGAACATATAGTCTCTGCAAGTTAAAATTATATTCCACTTGGAAACTTGGCAAGAACAGGAACAGTCATCAGCATTCGATTAACATAGAGTACAAATGACGTGCACCAGACGCAACTTTGATTGTATTCTCAGCACTTAACGACTAGGTGTTGTGAACTTCGGTTCGGACAGAATAACAGCATCAAAAATACATATATGTATGTATACAGTCGAAAATCTCGCTCGTTTTCTCCTAGGTATCACAATTCTTTTGGCAAGTGAACCAGAGAATGACGCGGTATATTGAACACGTTGTGCGTACGGACAGTTAACAGGTAGATCGAGGAAGAGTCTCTCGAAAGAGGAATGAGGACAACGTTACGAAGGTACATGGTAGACGGGGACAGTTTTGTACCAAGAGAAGCAATTAATGGAAGACCAGAATGTGTAACGTGCATATTATGAAACTTTGCACGGATCTTTTCTAGGATACAACAACGCACGAATGTTGAATTTGACAAGACAACTCTTTGGTATAGACGCACAATAAAATATCCATTATCCTATTAGAAGTATTTCTAACAAAGATGAACTTGAAATTTTTAAAACACAAATCACCTTTCCAAATACATTATTCTGAGACTTTCATTTCTAATAAAAGATGATCGACATTTTACTGTACAAGTTTAACCCTTTCGTGATCAGTGGGACTCATATGTCCCACTTGATTTTTCGAACAAAAATTAATCTCAATTTAGGATCCTATTGATAGACAAATAAGAAATTCTTTAAGAGAAATAACACGGTCACAAAAGGGTTAAGTAGCAGATCTTGGAACATTTAAACGACAGGAGATTCAGGTAGAAATCAGTCGAGAGCCACGTTGTTAGCTGAATAAAATGCAAGCTCCATCGTGCAAATTATTCAGCTAGGAGTAAGGACAATGTCAGCAATAGCAGGAGGTGCTGGGAGGCGGTGTGTCACGCTCGTGGCAGCGCAACACTCTTTGGTGAGGCAACAGCGATTTGTCCACGATAGTCTCCATTCTGCGCATCACACGGTCCAGAAGTATCTCCACGGCACGTGCCACATTTTGGCCCGTGGCTGCGCTCGTTTCCAGGTACACCAAGCTGAGGAATATACTTCATTCAATTCCTTGCTCTCCCTGTGTTCTGGATTCTTGCAGTTTTACTATTCGAGGCTTCCTTGTCTTTTTAAGAAAATCTTTCTAGGAATATCTGAGACAAAATATCTAACGGAGGACTTGAATAGTATAAACCGCAATTTTTCGTAGCTACGGAATGGATTGAAGCGAAATAAAATGCAAATCTTGAAGAAAATATATAACTGGGAGAAAAATGAAGAATAAATTGATTGATAAAGAACGTAGTGAATGACGTGTACTATATTATTTACCCATGCTTTTCCGCTAAATCCCGTGCCTTATTCTCACTAACAACCCGTTTGTCTTCGAGATCGGATTTGTTTCCACAGAGAATTATGTCTGGATCTTCGCAATATGCGTGGGTCTATACGTATACAGACATGAATCAACGATCAAACAAAAGGAATCGAGGTTCAATGAGAACAGTAAACGTGCCGCGATGCAACGGACAAAGAGCTTGCAACAAAAACCGGGACAGCTATACCTTACTTCGCGTCGCAATAAAATCGCAGACGGAATGAAACAAACTCCGAGTGCTTCTGTTGAAAACTCTCATATTTAAAAAAAAATTACTGCAATTCGGAGTGCACGTTAACACAATCTATACGACGCTTCATTTTCGCGAACAATATAATATTACAAATTAATTGCACCAATCGTTTTTTACGATTATTTAACCGAACGACAGTTTGAGCCTTGACACATAAAGTTATACTCTAATGAACAAATGCACCATCTACTATTAAATGCAATTTACCATTATTTTATCTGTAATTACTTTTTAACAAGCATGCAAAATGAAACATATTGCGTGTACACTTGATTTTCATGCAGAAGTTCCTTAATATTTTTATATATCCCATACATTCCTAACATTTCTACACTACAGTTTCAAGTCACATCATGCAACATGCGTAAAACCAGCTAATGTATTATAAAATATGCGTAATGGAGCTGTAGCTTTCATATGTTAACTCAAATCATCGTTCGTTCTTCACCTTGCACTATCTTTACAATAATATTGTTAATAAATGATGTGTACCCTAAGCTGTTCCAGCCAATTTCTTACTTCAAGAAAGGATAGCTCGTTGGTCAGATCAAAAATTAGAAGAAAACCCATGGAATCCCGGTAAAAGGCTGTAGTTAGACTTCTGAACCTGAATATTAATTGCATTGAAGCACTTGCATGAAATCTAACATTGCTCTATTATGAAATACTAGCAGTTAAAGCTTATAATTAAACTTTTTCTTTATATTACACTAATAAAAACTTTTTAATATTTTGTAAGAAAAAACAAGAAGATTGTTTCATATGCATAAGTGCTATAAAATATAAGCTCCCAATCATATCATTATTAAAAAGTTGTTACCGCTCCTGGCCAGCTGTGTCCCACAGCTGTAAATGCACACGCTGAGTTCTACCATTAGCTGTCTGGTATATCTGCAATAGATAATGACTCTGGCTTGTAAGTAGTAACATATGTGACTTAATGTCATTTACATGTATATGCTATACTTCAACACATACTCCCCCAAAAGAATTTCAAATGAACATAATTTCAATAGAAACTAATATAAGCAAGTATTACTCTACAACAGCTATAATAATATGATTAATAAACTATTCAATTATAAAATAATTTCTTACCACACGTTTTTCCTTAAAATCAATGCCGACAGTGGATATAAATCGAGCATCAAATGTGCCATCGGTATACTGATACAGGAAACTCGTTTTACCGACTCCAGAGTTTCCAAGGGCCAAAAATTTAATAAGATAATCGTACTCCATTTTTTTAAGAACTGACGTTTAACAAACCACGGTTATCACACTTTTATCGCGAAACTTTTTTAACGAGGACACTTTGGCAGAAAATTCTAGCAATACTTATTAAATACAATGACACGGAATATCTATATAAGAAATTCTTACACGATCACGTTTAATTGTTTAACATAAATGACAAGAAACAATCATCGCTGTCACACAGCATGTGCGACGTTAGACACCTGTTGCCCACGTATACAATTTTCAAAATGTTCGCGCGTTTCGCGGCGAAACACACGATATATGACACCGCTTGTTGTCGTGAACTTTAATCTTTCGCTATTCAGGTTAAACAAATGAAGCACGTAAAACCAACTCTCGTTAGAAATACGCGACTACACTGAACTCGTTCACAGTGACGTATGACAGGTGTGCATGGAATAACGCCACGGAAGCTGCTGCTAATTACAGTACCGCCAAGATATAAGAAAAAAATTTGAAAAAATACAAACTTTTCTAAATCAAATAAAGAATTAAACAATGGTATTTTTTATTTTGAAATCAATTTTCATTTCTGACATGTGATTTATTGTAAAACATAATAAATGTTTCAATTTTATTCTACATTTATATATAAATTTTGAATCCTTTATACTTAAATTATTTATATTTATATACTCTTTAGATATTATTTATATATTACAGTGTGAGAAATATGAGCTCTTTCTAAAGTAAAAAACATTAATGAATTAATTATGTTACATCGGAATGTTGGCAACAAGTACGCGCCATTTCTGTGTTGGCAAGAAAATAAACGAATGTTTCTTTTTATGTAAAAATTAGTAGAAAATTGTTCAAATGTTAATATTGCGGTTTGTGAAACATTGTATTCATTTTGTTTTTATAAAAAGTCATGACTATAGTTTTTATATAATCTTTCAATTACGAAATAATAGCGGTATCTCCAACAGCAATGATTCCATCGTCTGTATTTTCTTTGGTTAAATAAATACCAAATCTCATTTTCCCATGAAACTTTTCTGCAAGTGTACGTAATGGTTCTACTGTTTTTGTACCAGTAGTTTGATCAATGCAAATCATCTGACATCTAGTACATGGCCCTGTAACCTAAATAAGATTTTTTCCAATAAAAAGATAATGCAAATTCCATTGTAATTCAGTCAGAAACATACCACAAAGCTATTTTTTCCAATATTAATACGTTTCCACTGTGTTTCTGCAAAAGATTCACAACCACTCAATATCATATTTCCCCTAAATCTATCTATAATTGTGTCTTTTTGAACTTCTGTATCAGACACTTGATCACTGAGCCATTGTACACTTGTTTTATTTATTAATAAATATTGAGCTTGACTAGAGAACGATAATTCAAGTTTATTGCTCTCTGTAAAGGAAAAATGCAATTAAATATTAAAATTGAATTTTCATAAGTTAGAGACATAAAGTATACCTTTTTTTTCATTATCAGAATTACTTTGTCTTATAAGCCGTAAGTTTGGGAGACCTATTGCTAAACTTAACCATTCAGAAACATCTGAACCACAATCAATACCTTCTACCTTATGTCCACAAATTCTACTTTGACATAATGACCCTTCTATAATATTTATAGAGTTAATGTTTAAGGGCACATCTATGGCAGGCATTCCTACAATATTTTTCAATTATTATATTAAATACATACATGCAATGAATAAGATTTATACCTGGATAATACAATTGCATCATTCCTTTATCTTTAAATATAATTGGCTTTACTAGACAAAGATTAATATGTTGCTTTTGTGTCAAACAAGTGCCAGAAGATGTAATAATCATCCATTCTCTATCATATTGCAAACCTTTAGAATTTAAATTCCAAGATCCTGTTATTTTATAAGCAGCACATGATTTTATTGGATATATATACAATTGGTCCAAAGTACATTTTTTTTTATATGCATTAGTGTCCATTAACAATTTGAAAAATTGATTATCATTGATAAAATGAGTCAATGAATCTTTCACAATTTGTAATTTATTTGTAATTCCATTTGCATTATTATTCGTTGCATCATTTGTTAGATCTTTTGCACCTGCATCAGGTTTATAAAACTTTTTAAATAAAGCTGTTTTGTGGTCTGACCACCAGTCTGGAGTTTTGTTTACTGATGGTCCGTCCACAAAGGATTCTTTGATCATAAGCAACAAAGTTTGAACATCTTTAATTGTGGACATATATCCAAATGAAACTCTCACAGCCCCAGTTGGTCTGCCATTTATCAAATCTGCAGCACCCCCACAAACATACCCAGCCTCATAGTTTTTAAGAACTTCTTTATTTGATAATGCTAAATGTCTCTGACATGCACCAGGGTTGCAAAAGCAACCAGTTCTGAGGTGTATTTTAAACAAAGCTGCCATGTTTAAGACCTCCATATACCCTACATATTCACCATTAGATCTTATAAGATTAAAAGTAACAATGCCCCCTTGTGTATCAGGATTATCACATGCAGTATCAGAATACAATCTTGCAACTGGTTCTCCATTGCTATGATGTAGCTCTAACAAGGATTTATACAAAAAATTTGCAAGTGAAAATACATGCTTTGAAATCTTCTCCATTGTGATAGAAGATAATATATCAAAGCCATGTCTTAAGGATATTATAGAGAGAAATGGTACAGTACCATCTTCAAATCTGCAACAGGGCATAGGTCAGCGAAAAGTTTAATTTTCTTAAATAATTACAAGACCTGTACCTTTGATGAAGATTTTTTCGTTTTATATGAAACATATCAGAGCTCAAAGCAACATCTATGGTACCACCACCATAGTAAACTTTTTGAAGTACATCTGCATTAGAATTTTTTACTAATAGTGCACCAATTCCAGTAGGATATCCAAACATTTTGTAAAAGGATAGACAGACAAAGTCTGGCTTGAAAGTAGATAGATCTAATTCATTTGTTGATGCAAAGGCAGCAGCATCAAGTAAAACATACCACTTTGTGGATTTATCAGAAACTACATTAGACAGAACTCCATTATGAACATCTTTGATCCATGTTAAAGGATACTTTAAACCAGAAAAATTACATTGAGCAGGATATACAAAAAGTGAATTGCTATTCTGTTGTGAAAAGGAACTGGATCTCAAGGACTTTGAAGGGGAATTAAAAATTTCAAAGACATTACTATGACTTAAGCAAGTTACTTTGGCTCCTTTTTTAACAATAACTTCTCTCATACCAAGAACAGAAGTATGATTATCTTGTGTATAAACAAAGTGTCCTGAATGGGACATATGTTTTCCATCTTCTGAAAAGAGGAATGTATCAGCTATTATCTTTAAAGATGCAGTTGCACCTGATGTAAAAATAACACTGTATTCATCAGAGGATGTGTGAAAATGATCCAAAATCCTATAACAATGAAAATTACTGTCATACTTGTCTCCTATCAATATTATTTATTTTATTCGATGCCTCACAGATATCTCGTACTCTCTATAAGATCTTGAGTCACATTACTGGCAGTCCCAATAGAATGTGGATTAGCAAAGAGTGAATTATGCAAATCAGAAGCAACATTTTTTATCTGTGTATCAGAATATAATGTTGCTCCTGCATGATCCAAGTAGCATTCCTCTGAAAAGTGGAAGATAGTCAAAAGATAATTTTATCCTCTCACTTCCCACGGATTATCTCCTTACATTTATCTTCCTTGCTTATTCCTACACATCAGAAACGCGTAACGCAATATTTATAAAATACACATTGTCACTCACCTCGGATTCTCGAAAAATCATTCTCTAAACGTTTCGCAATCTCTCCATCGTACACTGGCGTATACGATGCCGTCGGCTCTATCGTGTTTTCCATGTCGACAAGTCTACGACATGTGAATTAACTAGCAAGATCGATAGGAGATCATGCCAGTGTATCAGAATAATATTCAATGCTGACAAGTCAGTACTCGAATGATTACCTAATAAGAATCGTAAGTACTACGTTTACTTAATTTGAAGAATCGCTGTAGAGGATTGTAGCTCGCGTAATTACTTTCTTGTTAGAATGACAAGCATTTCTATATTTATCAAGTACAAGAAGTTTGCAACACCTATGTGATTATCGTTTAGAAAACGCGAGAAAAAAAATACCCGATAAGATTTTCTATAACTAAAGAATGGAATAAATGAACAAGATATTGTTTTGTACATAATTTATTCTGACAAGCGCAAAAAAAGAGAATGAGAATAAACTTTTTTGCCAGTACGTCACATTGTGATTTCTTAAACACCCTGCCGAATAATTTGAAAGATAAAAGAATTCTCGTGAATTGATAAGAATGTTTGTATACACTAATGTGCGTGCACGTGTATGTTTACCGGTTACGTAATAAGTACTTGTACATTCATCGAACACGTTAAAATGCATGTGGCACACAGAACAGATGCAGGAATACTTTCTAGGGCATACTGAAATGTATAACAGAGAGTGGAAATGTCTCGATGAATTAGAAAGTAAAGAGAATGTTAATGTTAATGCAATTTATTTCCAGTTATTACGAACATTTAAACACTGATTCCTTATGTGACGAGGTGGCCGAGTGGTTAAGGCGTTGGACTGCTAATCCAATGTGCTCTGCACGCGTGGGTTCGAATCCCATCCTCGTCGACTTTTCTGTTTTGTTATATTCATTTTTTATTTCGATATTATTTTAATATGATTTTCTTCATCATTCATTAACATACATTTCCAATGAAAATGAATAAAACAAACGAAACATGTTCAATTTTTTAAGTATGACATACGTATAAGTAACCTAATACCGTTTAATTAAGTTCTCTATAATTTTTCTTTAAACGTTCTAATTAAAAAATTATAAAAATAATTTGACAATTATGCAAAACAATCCCGGAAATAGCAGACCATTTAAACCAATTTGGGGAAGCGAAGTTACGATGCTCACAAATGACGAATTAATCAATGAAAATATTTATGATTTTTCCTCGGACGATTCTCACGATCAACATTTTAATTATGACACTTCAACTTCTTCTAATCATTTCACTCCAACAGAGGAATATCTCCAAATGACCGAGCGTCTAATTGAAAGTAACGCATTGTCGCCACGCACTTCAACGATACTCAAAGATCTTTATGACAGGTACAAATCCATTAATAAGTACGGTCCAGAGATTTCCGACCCAAATATCAAACGACATCACACTGGAAAGGATTTCTCGAAGTCCATTAAATCTCACGGTGGTCACAAAGAAACGAATAAACCGCAAACATCTGCGCGTTCTAAGAAACATACAGCATTTGGCTGCGTAATTTCTCGTCTAGGCGAGAAAGAAAAGCCGTTAAAATCTGAAACTTCGCCGATAGATCCAAGAGAATCTGACAATTTTCACCAAGATATCGGATCGTCCTCGTACATCTTACAAACAATCGCAGACTCCACTTTCTATCAGCCTTGCGACGCAGAGGCCATCAAGATCGACAATATTTTCTCTGATTTTTTCTTAAACACTAGGAGTCTCGATAAATCGTCAAGAATGCGCAGTAGACTATGGCTTGTAAAGGAGAAGCAATCCAACACGAATATTCCAAGTACGAGTAATAAAAATACGAATGATAAACGTTCCACGAAAAATAACAGCTAAGAAAGGAAAAAAGGTGGAACATCGAAGAGAGTGCGGCTCAGCTAAGTACTGAGAGCGAACGACTTTAACAATGGCCAAACGTTTTCCATCCTCTATTTATAGATACTGAAAAATGTGAGAGTAGCGAAGAAACAAGTTGCAAACGACAAAAGTACTAGAAAGTCTCTTTTCCCTACGCTGTGCGTTTCATGTCGCGTTCGTTTCGAGATTTGTATCGGAAACTTGAAACAAAATTACATCATGGCGTGGTCGCTTCGGGGCGGCTGCCCAGTGTCACGCCTATTTATTTCCGTGAACGCACCTAGTATCCGCCTCCGGGTGTGATAATCCGACTTTTGTCCAATATTCAAAACGGGATCACCGATACACGGGTAAATTGTAACACCGTCAGGGAACCGGTGTGCCCCAGACGCGTATGGCTTTATATGTCAGTGCCACAATTTGGAGAAAGTGCGTCCTTGACAAGTTTTACAATATCACGACCCGGCATTGGTTATATGTATCACGTTACATAAGCCAAGGGAAGGCCAGGGTATAAGGAAAAAAAAATATTGTTTTAAACGCCTTATGTGACGTAGCCGCGCGCTCCCTTGTGCAATTCTGGATAAATAAAATTGCCCCGAGAAAAGGCCGCTCACGTGTGATTGAGATAAATGCGTTCTCCATGATGCTGTTACGTGAATTTGTATGACCGACGGCCACGCAATCTTTGATTTTTCTCGTGTAACAATGTTTTGAAATAAAGCGAGGCAAGCTTGCGTTCAATGCATCCCCTTTTATCTTTCTCAGACACGTCGATAATCTTGATAGAAATGTTTCAACGTTAGTTTGCAAAGGAAAACTTAGAAGGATATCTATTGTTAATTAGTAACGTATTTATTCAGATTTACGTAACGGAAGAAACTTTGAATTGATCAGATTAGAGAACTATCGTTGACATTTAAATCATTTCTAATGTAGTTGATCTCCGCGTGTATCAATGATATTGTGACATAATTTATCAGAGGACAACTTGAAATCTATCCTCGCTACATAGTGGAAGAAGTTGTTCTTGAAAAAGAAAAAAAAAATGATTCAAAAGTCACGTTAGATCGGACGTTTGATTCGCAGACTGAAGCAAAGTGGCGATCTTAATTTCGTCGGGTACCACGCCCGACGCGACGTTTGTCCATGTCCCCCTTAGCCTCAGCCATCAAGCTATCCTTCTCCATCACTTTCTATCCTTCTTTCTTAATGATTCCTCAGAAAAAAAAAGCGCCACGGTACAGTTTCCCTCTCCTCTGATCGGCCATGTCCAATCCCATTGGGAGCACTGGCACCCAAAATTCGATTGATCCCCCTGCAATCTTTTGCTGCATATAAATACCGGGCCAGGTTTCGGATTTTCTCAGAGCACAGCAACTCGTTCACTCAAAAACTAAAATGGCATTCAAGGTAAGTTATTCGAGCAAAAAGTGTAACGAAGCATAAGCTTCCCCATAGAGCAGAATATTTTTACTCAAAATCCAAACCATTTCAATTTGTCTCCCTGTATTTATTACAATTGGAATTTATTCTTTAGAAATATAGTCTCGTAAAATATTCTACGAATTAATCAAACGATCTTCTTCCCAGTTTGTAGTACTCGCAGCCCTCCTGGCAGTTGTCAGTGCCGGTGGTCCAGCTGTCTACGATATCGCTGCTTCCTCCGGGGACCACAGTAGCATTGGTTTCAGCCAGGAGTCCACGCAGAAGGGCTTGGGTGGCCAAAACGTGATCTCCTCGTACAGCAAATCTGACGACTCTGCTCACTCCTTCGTCCGTGTCAGCAGCCACAGCGTCAGTAACGACGGTCTCTTGAAATACGACATCGCCCATGCTCCCCTCGTGAAGACTGCCTACACTGCTCCGTCCTACCTCGCCCCAACGGCCACACCCCTCATCGCGAAGACCTACGCAGCCCCATACAGCTACAGCGCACCCCTGTTGACCAAGACATACGATGCCGCTCCATCTTACACATACGGCGCACCTCTTCTGACCAAGGCCTATGCCGCTCCAACTCCTCTGATCGCCAAGGCTGCAGTTGCTGCACCAGCTCCTCTTCTGGCTAAGGCGTACGCTTCTCCAATCGCTGCTGCTCCTTTGTACGCCAAATCCTACTCCACTCCCCTCTTGTCAGCTGCTCCAGCTCCTCTGCTAGCCAAGACCTACGAATACGCCGCACACGCTCCAGTCATCGCCAAGAGTGCTCTGTTAGCTCCAGCTCACGGATACGCTGCCTCCCTTGCCCCAGCTCATGGATACGCCGCCTCCCTCGCGCCAGCTCCTCTCTTGACCAAGACCTACACCTCAGCTCCCCTCGTCGCCAAAGTCGCTCACGAATACGTTCAAGAGCCTCAGCTGATCACCAAGGCCTACGGTTACGAAGCAGCTTCCCCTGACGTGCACACCGTCTTCAACGGTCTTGGTACCAGCTACTCTTGGTAAATTATTCCTCCTGAGTCCGCGTATTAACCCTCTTGGTCTCCTTTCAATGTTCCGTGGACGGTTTCCTCGAGAATCTCTTCGGTCTGCTGAAGATTCCGAGAAGCCGGTACTTCGTCGAGCTCCTTACCTCTTCAGTGAAATTCCATGGGTGAATTTCGTTGAGGAGAACGTTGCTACTAGAGTGGTTCATTGGGAACCAAAGGGTTAACTGGACTGTGGTAACCGGATTGAGATTTGTAGATGTAAAGATTTTAAAGGATTCCACGCTGTCAGGAGAGAAAAATTGTGTTGCACATGTATAAACGATCTGTAATGTTAGGTGTAAATGTACATGTGTAAATGTGGCGTTTCTAAATTGGTATAGGTGATACTAATCGTATATGTGTTATACGTACCTTCGCTGCTGGCATTTAACTAGAAATAATTTTCTCTCGTGATATTTTAAAGAATCTATATTTTTGTGAATCCGAATAGGCGTTGAATAAATTAAACGTTTTTTTTAACTAACTAATTTGTTCATTTTCTTTCTCACCCCTTTTCTCCTGTTCGCAGTAAGATGTAATCGTTTAATGACGCGGCGATAAAGTTTATTTGCAGAAAATAACGAACGTACTATATAACGTTCTGGTATGTTTTCCATGATTCCAATTAAAATAAAACATCCAATTTCACGCTTACGTAATTGATAAAATGAAATGGTTTCTAACTGGATAATGAATCTTCGGTTTATTTTTTTATCGCCGTCGGAGTGATAGAATTTAGCGCATTCGTTAATCAGTTTAACAAGATCGTTTAACAAATCATTAATTTAATTTAATTAATTTGTTCATTGCATTTCGAGTAATTAGATCGAACGTTCAGCAATAAATTGCAACACACTTATTGTTCGATAGCTTTTGTAGAATGGTATTTTGAGAGAAAATGCTAATAAAAGACTATGATACAACAATGGAAGCAAGCAGAGCTACAATTACTGCTACAATGCGAACGTTGACGTGCTCGAACTTCATTATGCCTTATGAAAGGACTTTCCATCGTGTACTAATTGTAAGAGACCGCCATTTTAAGGTCAGCTGACTCATTAACATACAATGGGGAATCGCTACTCGACAATCGATCGGTATAAATTGTTCTGGTATTTTTGGAAATTTAGATCAAAGTCTCCTTACAGAGGCACGTACTTCGATTCTTCGTTTAAATTCACGAATAGAATACATTGCCTTTGATTTTATTGTAGCGTAATAAATTTCACATTAATATGTACATAATGAAAACAATTCGAAGTAAATTAATTGACAGTAATTGAATCAGAAGTGCTTTCATTTATAATTTGGAAATCATACCGTACGTATCTCGATATCAAGTGTAATCCGTTTTCTGCTTTGGCTGCTAATATTTCTTCATATTGCACACAAAATAATACACTTTTAACATAATTTATACACTGAAAGTTTTATGACTTCTTTTGAGTGCAAATTTCAAATAAAGCTATAGATACATCATCAATTGCACCACCATATCTTTTCTAAAACATTATTTGACCCTAGAAACTAAACTAGGAACAATTGTTGAGTTGCATAACCTGCGAGACAGACTCTCATGTTATTCACTATAACTACAAGAGTATATACGCATTCGAGTTTGAATAAATAGTTCAACGATTGTTTTCCAAAAGCACGTGGTAATTCATAATCGTCAAAATGACGAAAATTAGGAAGGTGAAACGTAGGAAGAAGTTTCGTACGAACGTAAATCGTAAACGATTGAGGAATAAGTTGCGCAAATTACCGACGATCACATGGTAAATATAACCAAAAACATTCTGCTGTTTGATAACCGGTATTAACGAAAGGATGAAACTATTTTTTTCAGTTCTGAAATAAAACAATCGTGGGAAGTGACGAAGTCTACGCGGACTAATTTAAAGCAGATGGGACTAACATACGATCCAAATGAAACTTTGAAAATACCTAAAACAAAAACAGAGACCATTGAAAAGGTGACACAGTGGAAAGTTGATGATGCTGCAAAGAATTCACAAAATAAAGAAGAAGATATTGAAATGGAACCAGCAAAAATTCATGTAGCACAGGAACTTGAAACACAAGCAAAAGCACCAAGGAGGAGGATGTTGAGGCTACCAAATAATCATGTACATTTTCTTACCTACTTAATGGACAAGTATGGGGAAGATTACAAGGTAATGTTTTCTTACAGAAATTTATTTCACATTGACAACAATTTCTTCTTATTAAACGAATTATTTAGGCTATGGCACGAGACAAGAAGAATTACAATCAATTAACATGGAAGCAAATACGTGCTAAAATTAAAATGTTCAAAGGTATCCCTGAGCAATACAATGAATATCTTCAAAGCAAAAATATGCAACAGTAATTGTTCTTTTGTTATTGTTTAATACAAGTATATTTCAGTTTTAATACAAGTTTGAATATAAAGTATTGCAATAAATTAATTAATGTTGTTATTTAGGTAAGTACAAAAACAGTAAAAAAAAATTATACTTTTATCAAACACAAGATGTTTGTGTCATTATGTGTAATACTATACATTATGAATAATTAAAATAGATCTATATGTTCCTTAATATAATATAAAAAGTATAGTAAAAGGTGAATGACAAACTATATTATACTGAGAAATCCTTAAAAATTTTACATTTTTCTTTTTTTTTTGTAAAGCTTGTATTATTTTTCTTAAAAAGGTTCATTTTGGACAAACTGTAATCACCTTGATGCATTGAAAAAATTGCGCACGGCATGCTGAACTAGGCATACTGTTTTTTGCTTTCTTCCTTATCCTTCTAGTTTTCATTTTTTTTTTCATTTTTTAATGTTTATATAAAGTATTTTTTTTTAACAGAACAAAGGGGCACTCATACTATCTTTTGCCATATGCAATATTTTTTTTCTGACAGCATCCACTGATGCATGATACCAAGTGCATTCGGTTGTATTTTCTGGCATTTCAGGAATGGGTCTTGTTTGGCATCCAATTATTTCTACCTTGTGCTTATGAGGAGAAATACTTAATAAATCTAAAGCTTGTTTAACTTCCTCTGGCTTCAGAGTATTAGGGCAATCCTAATTTTATATACAAATACATTATAATGCTGTAAACCATGAAATAAGTCTTTTCAAATGTAATTACCTGTTTGTTAGCAACTATTAAAATTGGTACATCGTCCATTCTTGAATCACTTAATAACTGTTTGAGAATAGAAGCAGCCAAAGACAACTTGGTTGGATCAGATGCATCTACTACAAACAATAATAGATCTGTATCTTGTAAGAAAGCAGTCCAATATTTTCTAGTGGCATCTGAACCTCCAACTAGCAATAAAATCACATTTAATGACATAATCATACAACATAATTAAGTTTTATACTTTAGAAATAATAAAGATTACATACTATCCCAAATATTGTAAAACACCATCCCATTTTTTATTCTATATACAGAAGAACCTTCTGTTGGTTTTGGAGGTACAGTGTAAAAAGTTTCGTCACCGTTCGCAACGCATATTTGGTTTATAATCGATGTTTTCCCAGATCCTTCTAAGCCCAAAAGGAGCACTCGTTTTTCGTGACTATCGTCGATCTATGAAAATAAAGTAACTGTGACGTCTACTAGGTTGAAGTCCACAAAGTGAACACGTACGAAATGAAACCACTGAATTGGCTAATGGTTTCAAAAAGAATCATAACTCTAACCTTGGACACCTCTTCGAAACCCTCGTCTATTGTCAGAAGTTCTCGCTTTTTCCAATATCGGTATGCAATATAAGTACCCATACAAGCACAGCCGATCCAAAAGATCCTTTGACCGTTTCGAAATACATTTTGTATCATTCTTCTCGTCTATTGTTTTGCCTGGTGAAAAGGACCGAAAAGTGGGGCCGACTTTCTCGGCTTCGATTCCGCCTGCTAGCACGTTGTCTCACGCGTAATCTGACACTTTACCGCATGACATGTACCTCACATCGTTCAAATCACGTATACGTAATTACGAGATTCGCGAAACACATTTACGAGAAACATTTGCATTCGCATAAATTTATAACGGTACACAATAAAAACTTCCTTCGAAAGAGCCAACTCTTTCTCCTTTCGTTAACTTGGCACTACTGATAAGATAAAAGCTGGGAATATAATCAACTTTCCCGTGATAGTTTTCAGAATTGACATGTTATGTATAATATGCGAATATTGGATTATGATTTCGAAATATTTCATTATTAATTGTTTATGTTAATAGCGTTTGAAATAAATAGTTGTACGTGAATTGTATTATGTTCTATTGTACTTGGTCGCAGTCTACCCGATCGATGTAACCGCATATTTTTGACAGTTCTGTCATTAACAAGTGATTCGCCTACCTTTTAATCGTTAAAATACTTTTAGAAAGTATTCTTTTAACATTTTGGCACGATACTATCCGGACTTGTATTTGAAAGCGTTCAAAGATTTATTTCTACTTGATGAATATTACGAAGTTGTAAAGAATAAGGAACTATTGAGTCAGTACCATATAGGTTAAACATGAATCTCTTAAAGTGATGGTATTTTTGTTGAAATATAATATAATTAAGAAATGGATAACATTGCGACTGCAGAGTGTTTAACTATTGATTTCGGCCCTTTCGAAACTGTTCATCGCTGGCAGCGTATGCCAGAATGCGACGAATTCGTTGGCGCCAGGTAATTCGAGTCAAACCATTTTATCACTGTTTTCAATCTCGAGGAATTATTTTAATACTTTCCCTGATTCTTTACAATGTGCTACCAATCGTTTTGTTACAGCATCTTAATTCCAATAATTGTGTATCAGTGTTTCAGTTATATCCAGCATTTTCCAGTTTCTTTATTTATTTTCTAACTTTGTTTCAAAGACAATTTATTTGTAATTGTTAATTGGAGATTGTAAATAAATGATAATAAGTAATTTGTAGAGTTTTTAATTACTACCAATATGATTCTTGTATAAGTTAAGTTGTAATGCAATTCACTGAATTTGTTACCCTACTGTTCTTTATTTCCTTGCATTAAATGTTATATTAAAAGAAGCTTTGTAAATGCATTACTCCAAAGTTCACCATATTGTATTATACACAGGCGTAGCAAACACACTGTTGTAGCCTACAAAGATGCTATTTATGTATTTGGCGGTGATAATGGTAAAAGAATGTTGAATGACTTGTTGAGATTCGATGTGAAAGAAAAATCCTGGGGACGTGCATTTGCAACAGGAATACCCCCTGCTCCACGTTATCATCATTCTGCAGTTGTGCATGATTCTTCTATGTTTGTATTTGGTGGTTACACTGGTGACATACATTCCAATTCAAACCTCACCAATAAGAATGATCTATTTGAATATCGATTCCAAACTGGTCAGTGGACAGAATGGAAATTTATTGGGAAGTATGTTTCAGTTATATCATTCAGTTTATCTGTATTTCTGATTGTCTTCTTACAGTATCTATTGTATAATGGTATACAATGTAAATGTTGCATCTTTTTTGTAGAACTCCCGTTGCAAGATCTGCACATGGAGCTGCTGTATATGATAATAAATTATGGATATTTGCTGGCTATGATGGAAATGCAAGATTGAATGACATGTGGACAATATCATTATTAGTAAGTCAGTGCAATCTATTCTACAGAAATTACAGATTGTTAATTGCTGCATAATTATTTTTAGCCTGGTGAACCAAGAGTGTGGGAGGAAGTTGTTCAGTCTGGTGACTGTCCACCAACATGTTGTAATTTTCCAGTTGCAGTAGCACGTGAGTCCATGTTTGTATTTAGTGGTCAGAGTGGAGCTAATATCACTAATAGCCTTTTTCAATTTCACTTTCGAGAAAAGCGGTAAGTTTGAAACTACTCTCGTTGAAGTTACGTCGAATTTTATAAAATACGAATCTTTAGGTGGACACGAATTTCAACGGAGCATATACTGCGCGGCGCACCACCACCGCCAGCTCGTAGATATGGTCACACTATGGTCAGTTTCGATAGGCATCTTTATGTCTTTGGTGGTGCGGCTGATTCTACGTTACCTAACGATCTCCATTGCTATGATCTTGATACTCAAACGTGGAATATTATTTTGCCCTCCGCTGATAGTCAGGTATAAATGTGAAGTCATTAAAATTCCAAACAACAATCTTTCATTTATGTACTTTCAGGTCCCGTCTGGTCGACTATTTCATGCAGCAGCAGTAATCGGAGAAGCAATGTTCATTTTCGGCGGAACAGTTGACAATAATGTACGATCCGGAGAAACATACCGATTCCAATTTTCGTCCTACCCAAAATGCACTCTGCACGATGATTTTGGAAGATTGTTAAACGGTCGACTTTTCTGTGATGTAGAATTTATAGTAGGCGAGTCAGAGACAAAAATACCTGCTCATATAGCAATGGTAGCAGCACGTTCGCAGTTTCTTAGGACTCGTATTAGGCAAGCACGAGAAAAGCGAGATAAACATTTGGAAGAAGTGTTTAAAACTGTGGATATACCCATTAAAGATATGCCGTTATTAGAGGTAAGTAGGTCTATCAAATTAATAATGAGTGTTATTACTTTTCCATGGTGCTATACCATAGGTGAGATTGAAAGATGCTGTGCCAGAAGCATTTGAAATGGTATTAAATTACATTTACACCGATCGTATCGATCCAACGAAAAGAAGCGAAGATGGATCAAATAGTCGTGTTGAAGATCCCTTGAGCAATAGAATTGTGCTGCTCATGATGGACGTTTATCGTTTAGCTTTGCAATTCAATATGAAACGATTGGAACAACTGTGTGTCCAATACTTAAAAGCGACCATAAGTCATGCGAATGTTTTGGAAGCATTACACAATGCTGCTCACTTGAAATTGTATTTTATAAAGGAGTTTTGTTTGAGTTTCATTGTGAAGGAAATTAATTATAATCAAATTGTAATGAGCAAAGAGTTTGAGACATTGGATCAGCCTTTAATGGTGGCAATTATTAGGAAAAGGCAAATACCTCAGAAAGAGATTTTTCCTGGACTATGTGATCTGAGCACAGGTGGGATATTAAAGTTATTTAATGGAAAATAATGTTCTTCTTTTACTGTAATTCGTTTTCTGGCTAGGAACGACCTTAGAACAGGATATGGAGGCATTTCTGAAAAATGTTGGCAGAGAGTTCTGTGACATAACCTTAATGTTAGATGGTGTTCCGATTCCTGCTCATAAAGCAGTTCTTGCGGCACGGTGTAGCTACTTTGAGGCAATGTTTCGTTCATTTATGCCAGAAAATAATGCAGTCAACGTAAGTTATTGCTTCTTATGTATTTATTTATTTGCAACGTAATAAAATATGTTGCAAAAGAATGGCTACTTTTTTTTATAGATACAAATCGGTGAAATGATCCCTTCTTCCGAGTCATTCGACTCCCTCTTGAGGTACATTTACTACGCGGACGTCTCGATGCCACCCGAGGACTCTCTATATTTGTTCACCGCTCCGGTTTTTTACGGTTTCACGAACAATCGACTGCAAGCGTTCTGCAAGCAGAATCTCGAGATGAATGTCACGTTTGAGAACGTTATACAGATCTTGGAAGCTGCGGATAGAATGCAAGCTGTTGATATGAAGAAATACGCGTTGGATGTCATTGTGCATCACTTCACAAAGGTACATATTGTACTAAATTCTCTTTTATTTTGTACATCAAACTATTATTTGCTGTAAATAGCATTTTGTCATGTTACAGGTTGCAAGACTCCCAAGACTAAAGCAATTAAGTCGCGAATTATTGTTAGACATCTTGGAGGCATTGGCCGATGAACGCAGCGAGGCAAGGACTTGTCAGGATATGGCAAACGATTGCTGACGGATCTCTGCCTCGCCCCGTCGTCCTTGTAATTGGGACTTGCCCTCCCCATCGAGCTTCCAAGTAAGTGTACAATACAGTATTCTAACCACGTTCAACATCTTCTACCTCATGGGTTATGGGTATATAGTAGACGAGTGTCTGAAACACCTGAGACACCGTGCACGTATGTAAATAGGTGAACCAGATTGTTTTATTTATTTGTACATATAAAAAATATGATCTGTTATAAAAGCTCTTGTACAAAATAAATAAAAAAACGAATGTGTGTTAAATCTCATACAATAATCCGTTTAACATTGACTTCATTAGTTGGATATAAAAAGAATGAGTAACATAAATCATTAACTCTAGTTAATATTTCCCATTATTCAAAAATTTAATGTTAGGGATACTGGGAGAGAGATTGGGTATTAAAATAGGCCAGTGGTTTATAAATTATGTACTATATTTTGACCTCGATCGTAAACGATCGTACATACACGCACAATCGATACTTTTTTTGTTTCTTTTAAATGGTAATTCAACACTTTAAGCTTAATGCAAGTTGCGTAAATTTTGTTTTGGTGGGAGGGGGTGGGGGAGGTCGAAAGAAACCTTACGTAAAGGAGCTTGTATAAAATCATTGCTCTTGTTTTCTCTCTAAGTATTGTTGTCTCTAGTTAGATGGTATTCGTCGACAGCCCGACACTTCAGTTCAGTCTCTTGAACAAAATATTGCGAAATCGAATTTGTACTTAAAGTAAATCGTACGTCTTTCTTTCTCTCACACATTCTCTCTCTCTCTCTCTCTCTCTCTCGTTCGTTCTCTCTCTTTCAATTCATCACGCTTCTCGTATCCTTCCACGCTCGTAAATCGTGTAACTTTTATTTTTCGAAGCTTGTACGAGGAATTAGCGTAATTGTTCTCATTTTTCTTTTCTACGTAAAATGTGACTTTTCCCTACGCGCGCGTGTAAATGTGTGTGTTTAAATGTTCGCACCTCACCTTTAAATGTTCGTACCTGCTGTCTTTTATATCGTTTTAAATCACGAAACTCGTTTTTTTAAATATTTTCTTTTTTCTTAATTATTTCACTAGAGGTGTCTTAATTCAACTATTTTATAGTTATCTAAACTTAAATCACATTAAATAGTCGTAATAGTAATCATTACACACTAGGTAGGCCTTGTTTAATTTTTTTCTCTCTCTTTCTTCCTCTTTGTCCTCCTATTCGTCGCTTAAAATTCTAAATGAACTATAGGGTAATTATTCGAAAAACACGACCACATGTTCGGCCGCCACGTCGAGGATTAATTACAAAATGAGATCTAGAAGTTACACGGCTAGAATCAAATTAGTTACAATGATACGGTCGTGGTACAAATTTCGCGTTGATTTCGAATGGCCCCAATCTGAAACAGAATTGTTCGTTGTATATAAAAAACGTAGAACCGTATTACCTGTCGCCATTGCTTGTAGTAACTCTCATCTCTCACCGGTTGTAAAAATTGCTCGATTCGTATCGTAGGCACAGGGAGTACGAGACGTGTTCGCCTAACTCAAGTTGAATCCATTCTCTATCTTTATTAAAGCCCCCTTTCTGCTGGTCCTGCATGAAAGCGTGTGCAGCACTTGCATACAGACAACAGAAAGCAACATCTTGTTTCTAAGCACGACGTATCACGTACACCCTTTCGTCAAATGCAGATGGTCCGTGGTAATTTATCTTCTCAGCAGGTTGCTCTTGTATTCCAGTTCTCGTCATTTCTGCAAAAGTTCGTTCTTCATTGTAGAAGAAAGATAAAGGGAAATAGCATAAAAAGAAAGCAAGGTGTTTTGCATTGCATAAAACGAGAGGGAAGAGACGAAACGTGTCGTGGGTGTTAGTGATATTGATTTTCAGCTAGTTCTGTTTCGTCATTAACGAGGCGCTAGTTGGTACATGCAGCTTGAATATTCAAGAAGTCTATATATAAAGTGTCCGAGAGAAATTCTTTTTCACGAAGATATAAAAACACCTTGCATCTGAGTTATTTTAATCTACGTTCAGACGACGAGTCTTCTAACTATCAGATCAACGTCCTAGATCAAAGAATGAACCTTTTCATCCGGGATGCTGCTCGTCGATGGCATCCTGTGCGAAGGTTCCAGCCTCCTCCGCCTCTCCTCGATGGCATCCGTGTCTAAATTCATCGTAGTCGGAACCGTCTGTGTCACAGACGAACTTATGTGTCTCGTTTTAACGAGAGGTGGGTTTCGTGATTGAGGGATCGCGAACGCCCTTCTGAGTGCCCCTCTCGGGGGCGACGGTGGTGGATACGAGATACCTGATGGTATTCATTTGATTAGCACAATTTTTATCTCGTGCTAACATAAAGCTGTCAATACTTCATTCATGACCATTTCGTGACTAATGGGATTTGGAGAAGCTCTCGAAGGGAATAGGATTAATTATATCTAAAAAACTTAGGTAGGTACTAGGTAAAGTGCAACGGGAATAAATAAAATAAGGCCCACATCGTTCAATCGCGTAATTACAAATTTTTCTATATTATTTCCTATTCTATGACACCCTTGAGCATGCATGGTGTCGTTTTAGTCGGTGTTTCTGTTCTCATAAGGTAAGCTTCTATGGCGTAACAGAGGTAGAAAAAGGCATAGTCCCGCGTGGGTAATTGCTACCTCGGTGTCCCGGCGAGAGCAAAGTGTCCTTGCTCTTCGTTATCTGGGGTACGATGAGAAGCGAGTTCGGCGGTGTCGGTGACACTGTCGACGTCTGCGGCGACGTGGCCAGAGTCAAGTTTGGCAGCGATTGGCCAAGGCTAGAGTATGTTGGTAGCTGGACGCTCAGCGTGTTTGGCGTCGGTGATTTGCTCGGCAGATGTCGTCTATTATCAAATTTGTGAGGACTAGAATACGATGATTAAACGTCGGTGATTCATTAAATACTTATTTGGAGTAACCTACGCTCCACTTGTCTTTCTAATTCACCTAATTTGTAATGGTCTGTGGTTATGTCCTGTGCTTTCACCTCCTTCCTCAGATGATACACTTGAGGCTCTTGGTGGTTCGTTCGTTTCCACGCTAACGTTTCTGCTAGGGTTGTAACTGGGTAGGAAGCTACTGCTTCCTGGAGAAACGCCCTCCATTTCTATGCTTCCGCTTGAAGTTTCATGACTGTTAGAGCTTTTATTGTCTGAGCTCCATTTTCTCGTCCGTTTTTAGAATTAGTCACACGAGAGCGTATAGATTAAATGTGTTTGTACTAGCTTTTACATGTGTACAGTGAGTAAAAAAAGTTACCTGCACCTCTGGATCGGTGGACATTTGTAAAAAAAAATCTTGCCGCAAAATTGTTTATAGCAATGAAAATTAATGTTAAATTTTTGTTTTACATCAAAAGTATTCTGCTTGAGAAGAAGAGAAAAAGTTTGAAAGGAGCCATATGCCGCAAACATATAGTTTTCGAGATAAACGTTGATAAACTTTTGTTACGATTTGATTGTGTAGAGTTATACGTATAGGCTCGGTATAATGGTGTGAATGGCCCCTACACAAACTAAGTTGATGTAAAAAAGAATTTAACATTAATTTTCATCGTTATAAACAATTTTGCTCTAAGTTCTTTTTACAAATGTCCACCGATCCAGAGGTGTAGGTTCATCCCCTAAAGCCATGACCATGACTTTTTTTACACACTGTACATAAGAAAAGATATTCTTCCGGTTACGCTCTTGTGTGACAGACTATGATTAGACTTAACAGCTTACCTGTGACTGTGAGCGAGGCTGCTAACTCTAGACGCCCGGCTACTTCCTCTAGGCGTCTTTGGAATACCCTCACACTCTTCTGGCTCGAATTCAATGTCACCAAGGAATGTACTAGGCTGTCTACTAACAGCGCTTAGGCTCATAGTGCTACCAAGTGGTGGCACCTTCATTAGAGCGAATTGTTGCTGAGCTTTTCTTATCGCTTCCATCCAAGACTGAACAAAATAGAATAACATTTAGGTTTAGGTGAGCTAGAGGAAAATTTGGAAGCGTCGGTGCTTCATGGATGACTGGTACCTTGGCTAATTTCGATTCTCCAGCGCTGAGAACCAGAGCAGCTGATGCAGCCCCGTATTCGTTAAGATAAACTAGCCCCAAGCTGCTATGCTCCTTCAGCTCGTGTATCGAGATGCGATCGATCACGTATGGTTGTCTTATAATCTTCAGACCGCCTCCCAAGGTGCCAGTCAGTCCACTGGAAGACGTTTTCTTGGTCGACGGTTTGCAGATCAATAGCATATCCGTAAGCAACAGCACGTGCACCTCAGTCTATGGAATATTAGAACTTGCAAATTGCTCTTCTACCATTTCGTCGGATCTAACATGATTATCAATTACCTTGCTACTAGCTGCGTCCCTTAGCTTTAAATCTCCCTCGCGTAGAAGTACTCTGAGCGTGTCTTTCGAGCAGCCAGGCATCGGAGCGGTGGTAATGTCGAACGTGCTGTGAATCTTAATAAGTTTCTCTAACTCTTCGTCCCTGGATTCGACCACATCGTAGCTCTCTATTCGAGACGCGGCGCTGGCTAGTTTGGCTGTCTCCTCGTTCCTCTTCAGAGCTGCATTCACAGATGCAACGAAGTCGTCTACAGATTTGATCTGTAACAGAAATTCAAATAACGAATTATAAAATAATATTACATTGATAACACAGTGATAATTGCTTACCATATGTGTCAACTCTGCTCGTTGCTCCTCGTTCTCCGTGTTCTTATGAACAGCTTTCAAGAGGAGGGAGTACTTGGTCAGCCTCTGCATAGGTTTCACTAGTATATCCAACAGTTTCAATCTGTTGCAGTCCTTCTGAGTCTCGCACCACTGAAAAACGAATAGAAATTTCTCAGAAAATATTTGATATTGTAATTAGAAATCGTATACTTACCACCAGGTAGACCGTAAACAAATGATTATCGTTGAAACGGTCCCTGCAGTACTGCTGACACCTGCTTTGCTCGGCACAGTACCTGGTGTACGGTGCGAACGTTTGCTCGAACGTCTCGAAACCTTGCAGAAGGTGGCCAGAATCTAGTGGTTGTCTAGTGGTTCTTGAAGTGTTCACCATTCTTAAAACGTATTCTGTCCAAAAGTAGCGATTCGCGGCGTAGATTTCGGGTATGTTACTGAATAGCTTGGTCCTGTCGACCTCGTTCAGGATATTCGAGGCCTGCAGGCTACAGAGGCACGCCATGAATAGCTGAAATGTTACAGAAAATTATAAAAAATAGTGGAGCAATTGTTTTTTAAATAAAAATATTTCGATTTAATAAAATACTCACATCTGTCACGACCTTCAAAGTCTTGATGTAAGCTACTTCTGTTTGAGCTAACTCCCATAAAGCAGTCTGCTGTTGCTGCTGTCTCTCCGACAATTGGTCCGAGTTGAGAACAATGTCACGCCAGTCATTTTCTAGATTGTACAAGGCTGCAAGAAAGTACATTTTGCTAATTCATTAATCGCGTTTAAATTGCATTTTTTTTGTCTGCTGTTTCAGCCTGGACTGCTTCAAGATTACGAACAGGCGTCGACGTCTGCGCAAAGTCGCAATTGCACGCTCACCAATGGCACGTGAGCTCATCAGAGGAGACTGTATTTAATTGTATACACCATTGATGATGATGTAAGAAAAAAACGACTATCAACAAGTGTTATACATATGTATATTTTAATGTTTCTCAATGTAAGATAATTTATTAGTTAAAAATATAATTTTTTTGTACAGAAGATGATAATCGTCTTTCACATAGCACAGAGCAATTGAAAAATAATCAATCGAATCAACTCACCATCTTCGTTAGGGGTGAGTTCGTAGGGCAGTTGAACGTCCGTGAGTTTTGGTACACCGTGCTTATTATAATCGTCAAGTTGAGCGGTGAGCAAATCGAGTTTGTTACCCTTCGTGTTCGAGAAGAAGCCGCTCCAGCGTTGTTTGCTGGTCTTGAACCCCGCAGCCCCAGCGGAGCTCCGACCAGACGTTAGTGTAGTGGTGCTACCTACTTCTGAATCGACGCTCGAGTCTTCCGTGGACACACTGAAGAAACGGCTGCTTCGACATCGATAACTCTGCGAACCAAATATTCAACGATCCATCTCTAATTCCATTAGGAAGAAAAATGAATCGTTGGACTAGAACTCTAAGCTATCCCAAGCCACCTAAACTATTGAATAACTATAGAAACATAAGCTCTAGAGATTAGATAGATTCTGCACTGAGAACGTTTCTCATCGCATCGAGAATGTCTCTCCTGAGTGATTTTAGCTTATATCTGTTTCGAGAGAAGATTATTTACTGTCACTATAATCTCGAGTTGGAGCATCCTAGGCAGATCTTTTGATGTAATGCTGATCACAATAAGTGCTCCCCGTTCATTCGCAATGAACTCCTCGACGAAGTTCCAATAAACCAATCTCCATCTACACGTCGACAATATCCCACTTGCTTCAACGATAAAGGCACAATATACGAAGGCATGCAACTGTATCATTATGCCCGCAGATGGAACCGACTCTAATCACCGAGCAGTGAAAGGAGCCATTATACAAGTTAGGTAGTGCTATTAGCTGTCTATTTCGAGGTTGATAATAGCTAGTCCGTGGAACACGATGGAGATGCGATGGTACCCGGTTGAAAATTGACGAGGGAATCAGGTTTATCGTTTCCAGCCAACTCATTAGAATCCGGATGCCGGTTGTAATGAAAGAATTAACGCTGATCGATGCGCATGGTATTGTTCACACCTAACTGATCGTTCCGTTTCCTCTTCTGCTATTACTCTTTCTCATTTTCTTTTATACTTGGGTCAAGGTTTCCAGGTCTTTTTCCACGATGTCGTCTTGTCGTATTGTTCGTGATTATTAAAGCCTCGCGGTCGAACATGTGTGTCAGCGCACAATGAAGCCATTCGGCTCAAGCTGTTATGAGCTCCGCGAGAGATTACAGGGCCGTGCAATCGGTAAACGATTCGTTTGACTCGCTTTTTAGAGCGAAAATATCTGCGTTAATTAAAAAAATTCGCGCCAATTGAAACGGAACGAGCAATGCCGGCTGATGGAGGGAGAAGACTTTAGGGACGCAAGGTTGGGCGAAGGAGAAACGAAGGTTGTTCCAGTGATTGATTCCAGGCTCTTTTCAGTCGGTTTTTTTCTCTTTTGGGACACAGGTGTTCAAGGTTCCATTAGAGGAATTAAAGAGTACACTTGTTCTTTTTTTTTTCTTTTCTATCATATTTTGTAGCTTGGATCTTACCCCGCCGCCCGTCTTCCTCAGGGAGACACTTTGGTTGCCCCTCTGGCTCGACGATCTCGAGTTCGATTTCTCATTGTCCTTAACTGAAACAGAGGGAGAAAGCGTTCGTGTTTGAATACAGGGTGGGAAGTTTTCAATTTTCACGTCGATTTACGTTAAGTACTAGCGTTTCGAGGAGTAAAGTGTATTAAATTCAAACTACGTGCTTCTTTCTTTTTTTATGGAGGTTTATAACGAATAAATAGAAATTCTTCCAGGTAGTGGTATTTTAGAGATTCGAAAACGATCCTTATTTTTCTCAATGGAAGCGTATTTTTTCACAATTAACAATGCAACAGTCACATTAAGAAGAAAATGTATTTTTATTTTGCTACAAAACCACATGTATTTCCACTGTAAAAGGGAAGAGAAATCAGCAACGAATCTATAGAATGCATCCAGCTGGAAAAATATTAATTTGATGTATCAAAGGAAACAAACAACGTCGGGCGGAATTGTGAAATACATATTTCTCTACAGTCACAAAGTATCTAGGAGAGATCGAAAGGATTCAGGGGTAAAAGCCTTGGCAGCAGAAATAAAACAAGACAGTAAATGTTCCGATTGATATTCGTGATTGATAAACAACCATGGAATTTCGGGAATTACATTTTATGACGGCGACAAAGTTTATTTCAGTCGGAAACGGACAGCGCGTTATCGATGTTCGTGACTGTTTCGCGTGGCTGTTCGAACACAGACGGACGTTTCCCTCTCGCTCGATTCTCTGTGTCTCTGTATATATTTTTCCTTTCCCCTTTGTTACATGTGCGTGAAAACGACTGAATTTTTTTTACGTAATATACGCGGAGAAGTAACTATTAACCGTGATAATCATCGGAACGGTCACGGGGTGAATAATTGCGTGAGTTTCTATTCGCACATTTCAGACCCTTTTTGCGTCACAGACGTGATATTTCTTTTTCAGCCGGGTTTTAAAGCCGAAGGCCGATCGTAAAGATCCGAAATTTGTCACTTTTACAGGTCTAAAAATATCCTCGATACTTTTTTAGGCGAGTCAGAGCTTGATAGAACGGGAGTAGAGAATTCTTTAATATTTTTTTTCCTCCTTTGTCGAGCGTGAAAATTTAAAACTTATCAGATTTGGAGGACTAAAAATGTGCTTAACACTTTTTAAGCTGGCTCCGGAAAGAATCACAGCTGAAAATTTTAAGACGAAATTCAATTATGAGAGTAGAAAATTCTTCAACTTTCTTTTGCTCTTTTGCCGAGTGTGAAAATTCAAAACTTATCAGATTGTGAGGTCTAAAAATGTGTTTAACACTTTTTAAGCTGGTTCCTGATAGAATTGGAGGTGAAAATTTTGTAACGCCTTAAATTTAGAATGAATTTAAATTATTTATAATTTCTTCTTTCCTCGATCGGCTAGTAAATATCTGAAAACCTCGTTCCGAGGTGTGAAAATACGCTTAACGCTGTTTCATCTGGTCCTTCATGTAACCAAGGGTAAAAAGTTTGTTAACATTTTTTTTTCTTTGTATTCTGTCAATGGTGGGCGTGATGGTTACTCAAGGATATACAGTTACCGCGGTAACCCGCGAAAATTCGGTCGAACGCGGTTGTTCGTGCGCCCAATTCTATTTTAACGAGATACTCGTATTTTATCCGAAGTTGTGACGTTACTGGTTGTTCAGCGCAGGAAGCAGCCAAGGAAAATTACGATTGCGAGGTTTTACCACTTCGAGCAACCTCATCTGTGCGAGCTTTCGTCACCAACATTCCACATAGTTCTGCTGACTTCACTTTTATTTTTAATTACAGTCAACACTTGTGTTTTTTTTAATAAAAATAAAAATTCTCTAAAGGAAAACTATAAATCAACGTGAAAGTTTCCACCGAATTGTCTATCGATAATTGCATTATCGCAAAGGTACGCTTGCTTACGCGCCCTTTGTGACGGCCTGTGTTACATATAATCAAGTTAAACGTGCCCTATTGCGTTCAGCCCCCTTTTCAATATTTAATAACGCTCCTCGATGGGCTGGCAAGATCGTGTTCGCGACGTTCCACGTGGAAAAAGTACACGAAGACGTGGAACCTCTTTTTATACACCCGGAGCTCTTTCCTTCCTCGCCAAGGACACCTAGAGGAAATAAAAGAATTATAGTATATTCTCCACAAGTGTCAGACCGCAAGGAAGCTAAACCTGACACTCGTAGAGTCAGGGACTACGTTTTCGAGCCTCGCGCCCGCCATTGCAGTTTGCCGAACGCAGACAAGGACAGCGAATAAAAGATAAGCATGAAACGTGAGTCGAGACAACCAAGTGATTTAAATATCATCTGGAATTTTTTTTAACATGTTGGTGAGATTTTTCTGATGAAAATGGTATCAAACACGATATAATTTGAACAACATTTACTTATTAACACGTTCACTGTCGCGCCAGATTTACAGGTTGCTGTCAGGCGGCCACAAGAAAATACATTTTAAACATAGGATTATAGTATTATGCTT